GGCCAGACCTGAAGTTGAAAGGTTTTAACCAATATTGGCTCTTTGTACAAAAGAGAACAGAAGTGACAGACCCTGGGGTATAAGTCCATACTCTGCTCAACGTGGCTGCAAGAAAAAAGGGCTGTTTTTTCCTTCATGTGGAATGATAAGGATAGAGTAGAACTAGGGTTTGAGGGTGGGGGTGTTAGGGTTGGGTCCATGCACTGCTCCCCTTCCAAGCCCTTAGTCTGATTTCCCATTATCTTGGTATGCTTGGCTACATGAATGACAAGATCCTGGCATAATGCTTTACTTCCTACTTTAAGCTCTTTTTCTATGTTCAAATAAAACACTGACAGCAAGAATCTCAAGAACTCTCTCTTAAAAAGGTGACAGATGAGCTTCAATGTGAATAATGTAATTCATCAACTGCAAAAATATAAGCCGTACCTACATGATGGCAAACACAGAATTGGTAGTTACAAATCAGAAAATATATTTTTGAGTTGTTGCTGAGAATCCTCTGACATTGGCTTAGTGTGCACCAGCGGCCAAAAGACAAGACAATGTTGGGCATCAATAGGAAGCACATTAAAAACAAAATAACGGGGTTTATATTGCCACTACAAAACCTTGGTGTGGGGCTGGTCTCTACACCTCAAGATGGATGTAGAGAGTTCAAAGAAGGCCTGTAGGGAAGTTAAAGAGCAACTAAAATGATCAGTGGTCTTGAGCACTGCCTGCTCATGAGAGGCTAAAAAGACTTGGGACTCTTCTGTTTCAGAGAGAAAGCTGAGGGAGGTGTTACGATGTAAGTTTCAGAATCATGACTGCAGAACTGCTTTTCATCACTTGTTCCTGCATTACTAGAATTTGAGGGCAATTCCTGAAACAAGTAGGAGATTAGTTTAAAACAAAAAAAAGGAATTTCTGAAGCTTACTGCTACAGGAAGCAGTGGAGGTAGACAGCAAATAAAAAAAAAAATCAGTCATGGACAACTGATCTATAAATGGATGCTGAAACAGCTATGAAGAGATTCACTCTTGTATCTACTACAACAGTTTCTGGACAGGTGAGTGGGTGCTTGGGAATATGAAGGGAATGGATTGCAAAAATCAGTCATATTCACATGTTTTCCCTTAAAAACAGAACAACATGAAAGTCATTGTCACTGTTGGAGACAGAATATTAGGCTGATGGACCATTGCCGTGAGCCAGTAGGACACTTATGTTCCCATTTGAAAGAGATACTGCTTTTCTATTAGAGGTGCAGAGGCTCACTTGCTAGATTATGAAGTTATGTGAGAGTACAAAACTTTTCATTTTAAGAAACCTCTATTTTAGAGCCCTAACATGACATTAGCCACTGGTACCTAATTGCATTGGAGTGCATGCTGTCTACAAATTGTTTCAAATGCTTTGAGAAGCCTTACAAAGCCTTGCTACTGCAATAGAAATTGCAGATAATCAGGCTTCTTCAGAAATGCTCCTGGAAAAAAGTTAGAGGTGCCCTTGAAGTCTTCAACTCTGAAACTACACAAAACTGAAAATAGTGCACAGCTGTTCCAAACCTATTCTGTTGGATACTTTTAATTTCTTGAAGATTAGTTGCTTTCATCAATGTTCATGTTTAAAAAAAATAAAGATGCAAATAAGATTCTACCTTCAATTGAAAAACAACTTAGTTTAAGTATTTTCAAGATTTAAGTGATATTTTTATTTTACAATTAGAAATCTAACATGCTGTTGAAGACTAGGCTTTGTGATAAACTAATATACTGACATTTAATGTAAAGGCATTTGGATTCAAATGACAGCATTTGCTTTTTTTAACAAATGCAGTAACTTTGGCAGGTACAAACTATTTCAATTTCTCAAACTTGAAATGGCTGCCATAAGAACAGTAACATGCATCCCACTGCCCTGCTTTCCACAGATCACTGAATTGTAATCTGTCTTTCAGGTTGGAAGGGACTCTGGGAGGCCTCTAGTCCAACTGTCTGCTCAAAACAGGATCAACACTGAATTCAAAGCAGGTTGCTTAGGGCTTTGTCAGTTGGGTGTTGAAACCCACTGAAGATGGAGAGTCCGCAGTCTCTGAACAACCTGTTCTAATTCTTAACTAGCCTTATAGCAATTATTTTTCCTTCATATTCAAACACAACCTTGTGGTTTGTGTTATGATCAATGTCTTTTCTCCCACCTTGTACTTCAGTAAAGAACCAGGTTTCTGTTACCTTAAGGTATAAGCTCCTGCCCCTTAACTGTCTTGGTGACTCTCCACTGAATCTACTCATTAACACCTTGTACTGAGGAAGGAGTGAGGTAGCAAGTGTAGAATAAAACAAGTGCCAGATGAGAATCGTTTCCCGTGATGTACTGGCTATGCCCTTGTCAATACAGCCTAGAATGCTGTTAGCCTTTGTCACTGCTAAAGGACACTGCAGATTCATGTGTAGCCTCCTGTGTGTCAGAATCCCCGTGTCCTCTTCAGCAGTTTTGCTATTCAGCCTGTCCATCCCCACAATGCAAATTCTATGCTACAGTGTTTGTGCTTCTGGCTGAGATAGCCGTTTTTCAAGCAGAGAAGTTACAGAACTGTATGACCATCGATAAACTTGTCACATGTATTCTCTACAATACGTTCATGTTTCTTCCTAGCAGTCTGGTTCCCCTTGGATATGAGGAGTACTTGAGAAAAAGGGCAGGTAAGTGTAAAGCTGCAGGTCAAAAGAAGTGTTTCTGAAAGTTCACAGATTGCACATCCTTTCATTAGAATAACAACACACTGTTTTCCCAGACTTGCTTTAGGAATTGGCAAAGGCTGTGTCTATTCATGATTTTTTTCCACCAACAGCATTTTCCACAAACTCTTACTTGGTGTTTGGAAAGGTTACTGCATAAAAATGTGAAGCCATGATTTTGTCATGTTACCTAAATACATACATCTAAAGGTATCATGTGTTGAAGTCTTCAGAAAAAACAGTCGAGGTCACTAGGTTGGTTTTCTCAATGTTCAAAACATAAAGCTGATACTCAATGTTAGTTAATTTCAGGTGAACCAATGGCTTAACTGTGCAGACCTAAAAGCATATAATTTCTTACTCTAATATGGAGTTTGTAGTCACTTGTACAGTGAATTATTTTTTTTCTGTGGTGAGGGTGGAAAGAAATTGTTGGGTTTCATTTTGTTTTTTGGTGTGTTATTTTCTTAGTGACTAAAATTGATAGCTGTTTTGGAAACTTCATGTGGCAGCTAATCTGATCATATTGTAGGATATTTTTTATTATTATTTTATTTCTAAATAACACAAGAACCTCTGTATCAAGCTTTCTGTATCTAGGAATATAAGCTAGGAAAAAAAAATATTCCAGATACATGTTACTGTCCAGTATCTGATATTTGGCATAAGCTGATTTCACTTGCATCATGAATTATGCTGTGCAAGTGTGGAACTCTGTTTTGCTTGTCTTTACACAAGCAAGTTCCTCATGTAACGACTGCAGCCTACATGTATGTGACAAAAATGCAAAAAACTAACATTAGTATGTAGTTACAACCAAGGTCTAGATTTACAGTGTGTACCCGTATTCCAAACAGGGATATTTTGATACACATTAAAAGCTGGAGCTTTTACATGCTGTTAACATCCGATTTGACGGCTTCTAGCATGATTTATGACTCTTGTGATCTTTTTTCAACCCCTCTTTTATTCTTATCTTTTGCATAAGCCCATGGTAAGTACAGAGATTCCTTCTTCCCCAAATGGACAGGTAAAATCTGTTGGTGTCAATAACAAGGACCTACGTGCACTTTTTATTTGTCAAAGTAAATATTGCTTCAGATTTCTGTAATGTCAAATAGATTTGTGTAAAGAAGCTCTTCAGGCTTTTTCTTTCTATCTTCCAGGTCTCTGTTACTATGAAAAGTCGCTTACAAAATAGCACTTGGTGCATCTTCCTTTTTAAACTTCCAAAGTGACATTAGGAAGTTTGTGTAATGCATTTTTAATGTTTTCCTGCATCCTTAGGATTTTTTATCTTAATACTCTTAGACTGTGACCCTGAGGTAGTTGCTACTAAAAGCTAGCAAAAGTAAAATTCTAAAACAAAACAACAAAAACCCCACAACCACTTGTGAATGTCTTCCATGAGTTGCAGCTATTTTCACTAAATTAACAGGGGAGTTGCCAGACTTCAGAGCTTTAGGTTTTATTTTTTTAATAGCTTGAGTGTATGGTTGTAATAGTTTATCACTCCACAGTGCATTTTGAATTAAAATGCTATTGTATCTGTCCGTGGTCTGACAATCATTTTTGTTCTGTTCTCTTAAAACTGAAATTGTAATCTACTTAGGCTGTACAAAGAAGTTTCTTTCATACTTCTTGATCTGACATCTCATTAGGTCTGAACTAGATAATGAAAAGACACTCAATCTTGCAGTGCAGACAGAACTAAGCATATTTTGGGGTTGTGGGTGTTTTTTCTGTGTGAAACTGGCAATATTCACTTGGGACCCTGCTCTTTGGGACTGAGGGAGGACTTTTCTCAAGTGAGAAGTTAGGTGATAAGGGAAAGCATGGAACTGTGAAAGTAAAATGTGAAGGTCAAAAGTGCTGTCAAAACAAATAGGCCACTCTAGAAAACTAACTATAAGTCTTACACATGGGGATATTAAAGAGGCAGTAAATAGCCTGGAGGAATCTGTCATTAGTGATTCTAGATATGCCTTGATTGTTAAGCCCTAAAACTGAAATACTCTGGGGTGGAAGGAGAATTTTGGAAAATTCCAAATACTATTTAAGACATTCTTTCAAGCTCTCTGCTTGGGCAGCCAGAAATGAGAAGTCACTTTGTTCTGATTCCACCTGAGTTTCAAAGTGATGATCAAATGTGCTACTTCTAGATCTAGCATTTAATTTAATCCAGAAAGGGTTCAATAAGACATTTCTTGGAAATGTGGGTTGTCTTACTGCTGGACTCTTCAGCTCTAACTGTTAACTTCTGCTTTTTCTAACAGATCAAATGTCTAAAAGGCCAGAGAGACTTCTCAGACCAACCCACTTTTGATGGGATTCACATTGTCAGCCATTTCACAGGAGATGATGAATCATTTCATTCTTCTGATGAAGATTTTATAACTAACTCCATACAGGAGAGTGGAGTGAACTTTCATCTACATGGGAGGACTGGTCAGATGGCTTTGGATCACACAGTTGTAGACAGCAGTGACAGTGATACTGAGGAAAGCGCCCTTCAGACTGGGAATTCAGACAAGATGGTTTCCAGGCAGAGAAGAATGGAATCATACTCTACTACTGTGTGATTATCACTGTGACTAACACTGAACTCTTTCATATTTCTTTAAGGGTGAAATTGTCAGATAACTGAAACTATCCAGCAGTTGGTTTAGGTACCTATTGGAGCTGGTCTGGCCTGTGATAAATATATGTATGTATTGTCTATCTGCCTTCTTTGCCAAATCTTGCTAGTGACATACTATTGCCATAAAACAGGCTGGGAAGAAGTTGATAGATGACAGTTCTGACAGTATTACTGAATGTTCCTTGGTTTAGAAACTGCAAATATATCACTTCTTTAATGCGTAAGAACCATTTTTGCTGTTCACAAACACAGGAATTTTTTTCCTCAAAAGAAGTTGCTCTTGTGCAATATTTTATGCTCTGAACAAATGTGTATGTTTTACATTGTTAGCCATTTGTGATCAAGATGGACCCTAGTAAACCATCTGATCATGACACATAAATATATATATAAAATTATCTTGTGCTTCTCAATTACTTTTGTTTTTACTAAAGGTATTCGATGCCCACAGAAGGCTTGAAAGAGGAGCCCTTATCTGTACTACGTATATGCAGATAATGGTCACTAATGTCATAAAGGTGTTTTTCACCATTTTCACTTAAATCTATATGCATCTGCTTTTGATGTTGCTAAATAATACCTGGTCTGAATATATTAATTACAATAATGTTTATTTTGTACATATTTATATATCTATACCAAGCTGAAAATGTACATTACACCATTTTATATGAGGAATGTAAATGTTGCAATATTACTGTCTCTGGTATTCTAACAGGAAAATTACTTCTGTATATACACACTAGAAATTAATTAATAAATGCAAAACACTAACTTTAAGTTTCAGCTAACTACACTAACAGGTTCATGTTGGAAATGCTTGTTCAAAACACTATTGACTGAAATCTTTTACCCTCATATATATGTAATGAAAATAAATTTTTCATGATTTAACAAGGTTGCAGCATTCACTGTTTAGTCACTTCTAAGCTACAGTCCTTGGTTACCATGTAATTACTCACTGGCTCTAGATTAGAGTGGTAGTTCAAATAAGGTAAAAAATTATTCATGTCTTATGGTTAGTTCTAATGAAGGCATGGTCAGTGCAGTAAAAAGTTAAGTCCAGTCATCTTACAGTTTTAAGAGCTATCTAGGAAATAAGCTATTGGTCCTTTCACCAAAGAGCTGTGATTTACCAAAGCAGTAAGAGTTGAGCTGAACATTCTGTTTTCACAATCTCCTGAAAACTGAGATCCAGTAAAATGGCCCTAGCTTCTTGAACAGAACAAGATTATCTACTCTTGTCATATGAACACTCACTTGCCCTCTCAAATGATGGCAAGTCAAGAACATTCTTAATGGCAGCTGCTATTACCTTCTTACATAATTAAACAATCTTTAAGACTTCTTTTCTAGCAATGTTTGCAACTGTTCTATTAATAAAGCCATGCATAAGTTGGTACTGATGTACATTATCTGTCTTGCTACCCATGAGAAGCAGCATAGTTGTTTAAAATTGCCGAAGTGTGGAAGTGCTGAAGACATCTGCTAGTCCTGTTAGGCATTTCCTTTACTTTCATTTTGAATGAGCCTTCAGAAAGGAACAATACAACTGAGGAGATAACAAATGTTTGAAGAATGATAGGGAAAGCTGCAAGGAAGAACCACATTCTGGGCCTCTCAACAGTATTACCTGTGCAGGTGTAATCTAATTTAAATCTTAAAGCAGGTAGGTGACAAATTCCAAGTTACTGATTTCTGCAGCTCCCAGCTTGCTTCAGTATTTCTGTAAAATTTTCTCGCATCATATCAGCGAATGCATAGTTCCCAGTATAGCCTGTTGAAATTGCCATCTCTGAGGCAGGTTAGCTGAATTTGATATCTGTTGAAAGTTTCATCTATGCAAAACCAAATCAGGAGTGCTTTTGTTCACTAACAAGTAACAGTTGCCTTTTTTTTTTTCCTTCCAGTGAGCATCTGGTAACTTAGGTTTGCACCTGGATAATTGTTGCCGAAGAGGATAGGTGACAAATGTCTTGTTGCCTGTCATCAATACCAGCTGCAAGTCTCTCTTAAAGGTAGTGTTCTACAATAAGTGGCAGGAGCAAAATTCAGTTGGAGAGCCATAAAAATCCTGTCTGTTTGAACAGTGAAGTGTTATGATTTTGCAATAACTGCCTTACTGTTCAAGTGATAGCAAATGAGATTAGATGGCAAGGGTTATTTCCTGAACTTTTGTGGTTTAAAAGTATACTAATAGCATAAAGACTGATACTGAATAACAGCATAAATAAAAATGTTAAGGGAAAAGCAAAAGTCCTTATCCAACTAACTGCATCTCTTCTAGTGATGAAGGTGAATCAATGGACATCGTGCACGTTCAGAAGACTTAGTTACACACAAAATTATCCTAGGAAGACAACCCAAGAGGTTGTTCAGAATCATACTGCTTTTTCTGCAACTATTCTGCCAAAAAGCAACACTAATCTCTTTGCCTATGTGTATTATAATTTGAATATGCACCAGAATAATGTCAAATAATCAACAGCATAGACAATATTTACTAATGTGTCAATAAATAAAGCATATTAATTGTGCACCATGACTCTGCTTGCATGACCACCTAACAAATACTGCCATTCTCTTAGATTTGCTCTTACATGCAGGCTGTAAGATTTCAATGTGAATGCTGAAAGCTGAAGGTTAAAAAAAAGCATGTAAACATGAAAACAAGATTCTTGAATATGCAAGTGCTGCAGCTGAGAAGGCAGTTAGGTGAAATAGGGAAGGGGGATGCCCTGCTATATACAGAATTCCCATGTAAATTACATTTGTGTTTGGTAGTGAGAATTGTTCTGCTTTCCCAATCTGATAATCAATGTTTTCACTAGCTACAGAAGCCTCGATATTTACATTTTCTTATTTCTCCAGGCTAAGGGAGTGAATATTTTAGGTCCTAATAGCATAGATCTCCTAACTTTTAATACTTCATGTATTAAAAGTTTGTAACATTTGTGAAAAATTGGGAACGTGACTGGTTGGGAGAAAGTGCATCTGTGAAGAAGCATATATTACATTCATGTCTCAACAACTATCTGTTCATTTTCGAATAAAAATTATTCCAATTTTTGCAGGCCTCATCTACATACACATTCACAAAGTAGTATTTTCCACTAAATTCAATTTTCAACCATATGTGCAATTTCCAATATTATTTTAACTAAATTGTTAAGAAAGTGATTAAAAGAACTATCCATGTAGGGGGTTGCATGAATTTAACAAAACCACTTTGTAAATCTTGTACTATTGAACTTAGTCAGTGCTCAGTCCTTTCATGGAACTGCAACACAGAAGGAATTGCATGTTTCTCTGGGGATTTTAATGTAATCACTGTTCTGTATCAGAGACTATGCTAGTGACTTAGTGAAACTTGATGCTCGTACAACATTTATATTTTAAACTAGAATGACCTAAAGATACATTAGCATAAAAATATCCACATTTTAGACCAGATGTGCTGCTAATTCCCTTACCTGTAGAGGCTCCAAAAAACATAACTCATTTGGGGGGAAGGTAGAGGATAATGCAAATCCCCCAGGAAAGCCATTAGGCTAGTCCTGGAGGCTAAAATAAAAAATCAACCTATAAAATAGAGGTTAGTGCAATCTAAGTGGAAACTACTGTGTTATGTTTAATTATGCACCAGCTACTGACTCTGCATATTGAGAGGGAAGAAGGAAGCTATGTATCAACTAACGGATATCTGGATTTAATGAAGTTAATTTTTGCTCTATGAAATACTTTCATCAGTATGATTGCACCAATATAGTTTTTGTAATTCTCTGAGGCTTTTGGTTGGGGTTTTTTTGTTTGTTGGATGTTTGTTTTGTGGGGGTTTTTTTTACAAACTAGCTCAAGACATAAGAAAAATCAGTGAAATACATTTATGCAGTAGCCCTGAGAACTAGAGATTCTCAATGATGGAATGAAAAACATACAGTAAATTGATTTTCAACATATCCTCAATATAGCATGAAGTATCAACTTCAGAGTGGAAAAAACATACTAACATGTGCATACCTACACATACACAGACACTGATTGACTAAGATACAACTGCTGGATCCAAGATACAACAGCTTACCTCCAGGAATTAATACCTCATTTCACAATTATGAAAAATAAAAACAATGTGGCATACTCTTAGAATTGTATACTGTTGCATAAGTGACTGAAATTTCTAGCATCCCATGATGAGAACTAAAATTCCTGAGACCATTTTGCGTAGTCTACATTCTGTAACCCTTTGATTCAACTTTCTTCTATTCATTATGGAGGTAAGCTCTGGCTCCATTCCCTCCCAAAGCTGGAATCCCTCTTTTCATCCCAGCCTTCAACACCACAGCTGTCCCTTTTCCTCTCCAGTTCGTGCTCACAGTAATCATTACTTTTCTAATCTGCTCTGAGAGCAGCAGAAGTTAGTTTGATTTCTTATGTGATCAAAAAAATCGCTATCAAAATCACTGATTAATGCCTCACATATTTGCAGCATGTGTTTATGCCACAAGGAGAAGCGTAAAGAAGGTAGCGACAAGATGCTGGGGGAAAAAATAAACAATAAGCAGGATATGTTAAAAAATAATTAAAAATTTACAAAAAGGTTATTTAAAAAATAAAGACACACTTCCCAATAGAACACACAGTGCTGCAAGTTCTAGCACCGTCTCATAGTGAAAGTGTTCTGGATAACTGTGAACTCAGGTTTTATCACTTTAAAGTGCATATGTTACTCACGAGTTCCCTATGTGAAACTGCTTCTCTTCCCCTATGTACCAAGCAGCTAACCTGTCAAATCCTGTTCTTCAAATCCTTCCTCCTGTTACAAAGTGTCTCATCACTTCTGAACATGAAGCTTTCATCTGCATCTGGTCACCTTTGGTGCCCTATCTGATGCCTTCTTAGTTCTAATGGTGACATCAGGCAGTTGCTGTAAACAGTGCA